TTATGTGTTTCTAATTTATAAATGAAATATGTTTAAAATATATCGACTTTCTTTGTCATGAAAAATTAATTTACATGCAAAATATATTGTATTTTTGTAACATACGACATATATATTATTTTACATATGATTCGTAGAATATATTTTGCATATTTCTATTACATTTCCACCGAGAGATACGTTCAGAATTGATCGCAAAATTTTTGATCGATTAAAAATCTTCATCTTGACGTGAAAGCAAAGAACAGGTGAATCGTAAAATTATCGATCGATCGTCAAATGAAAAATTCACATTGAAATCGTATCCTTGTATGATTCACCAACGGAATACGTTCGTTCCACCATCGGTTTCACCCTCTCAGAGGTGTCAGAGTATTTTTTAGCACGCGTTAGGGATCATAGACCCCGTACGTTTAAACGGGCAATCCAAAAAATGGCATCATAAATAAGCCAAAACGCAGTTCGTTCATTTCTCCGCCGAGGAGTCACCCTATTTTCGAACGGCACACGTATCGCCAATTATAGAGCGGTTTGTACACGTGCGCTCACACGGGGGTACAGTCCAAAGGGGTGGCCTTGCCACGTGTAATTTGTCTGCGTTACGTTACTTGAAAAGCTCCAGGATTCCGACGGCCCCTCTAATATAAAAAAAGTGCAATCTTCCTCTCGGCAAAGCGCACAAACGCCACGAGAAATTCGTATTTCTAATGTGACACGCCGGATTACGGGATTTATCGAGGGGAGGATTGTAAGCGTGTTCACGCTGAGAACGGACGTTTTAGATGAAACGAATGTCCCTGTCGAACGATGGCCAAAACCAAGAGATCGCATATTTTTATCATCCTTTGCGTTTCGTCCACTTTCTTCTTTCCTCCGTTATTTGCTCTTCGTTAGTGACAAACTTTAATTATTAACTGCAACAAATATACATGCATGCGTAAATATAAATGATAAAAAAAAGTAAAGCCTAATTAAATATTTATTTCATCCATCAGATATTAACAATTATTTTATACAACTGGATGCGTGTATTTTTCGCGTATCGTATGCATTTCGTGCATCGTTACATTTTTACATTTTTCCATAAATACATAAATATCCGTAGTTTAATTATCCCGAATTTACGCGTTCAATATGGTTGTGCATACAATAGGATGAAAATTTGTTTTTCCCCTTGAAACATTTTCATCGATCAAAAGAAGGATGAAAAATATATCGAATAATATCAAGTTGCATACGCTGAAAACAACAACGTATCATTAATAAAGATACGAGATCTGTTCGTGGCTATGATTAATCTTATCGTACGGAATAAACGGATAACCAAGGCCAAGCTTTAATTTGAAAAAAAAAATAAAAATAAAAAAAAGACCGTATACTCTCCGAATACTCTTCTTCTCCTCCATCGTCACACCCTCCCTCCTCGATACAGAACACCGCCAACCATCGCCACTGCAATTCTCCACCGCTCACAGCCAAGGCGATAAAAATCTTCCATCTCTTCGTGGTGCATCAACTCCTCGCATCAAGTCTCGACACCCGAAGGCTTAATTCCACGGGATCGTGGTAGCGCAACCGCTCTCTCTCGCCGTGTTTCTCCCTCGATCCACGAATCTGGTTGCCCGCCGGAACACAGAGCCCGTCGAACAGGTTCGCCACGATTATTTTCCAACTCGCATCTAAACTATGTCCAATTTATTGCATATTCCAGGCGCTCGTTTCGTAATGACGGAACAACGGTGGTGGTATCACGTTGCCGGCTCCTTCAAAGTTTCGACTTCCAACTGCGCCAGTAGAGTACCCAGCTGATGTATTCAATTTACAGTCGCGGAAACTTTACATCCATGCCGCTCCCTTAATTGTCCGGAACGCTGTGCGACTACCGAAATGAAAATGGAACGGAGTTTGCAACGTTTCGGGGCTCGAGGGGGGTGGATGCTGCGTCCTTTCCTTCTTTCATTAGGTCCCTGGATACGAGTAAATCGGTGTATTTCAACTACTTTATGAAACGGTGTTCTCCTCGGTTCCCTCGTTGTTAAACAGAACGAGAACTTGTGTTGGCAGGGGGAAAAAACGAAAGGAGGCTTGCACACGCGAAAGTTTGAGCGAGAACGCTTTAGAGCAAGAAGTCGCTTTCCCATCCCATTTATCCCATCCCCTATTTACTTTCTCCTATTCGATTGGCAATTAGACAAACATACGAACGAAAGTTTACGAGACGAAGCGAGCCAATTTAACAACTCAGGATCTCATGTTTATTTCATTGAAGGGAAGTCAAGGGATAATACGATTCGTGTCGTGGAGCCGCGCTGGGTAACGAAAGGGGATGAAAAGAACGAGCGGAGGCTCTCACAATGCCTCTACACTTACTCCTCTCCCCCTCCCCTATTTTATCTCCAAAAATTAATCTCCAAGCGAAAACGAAAACTTTACGAGATATCTTTTCAATTTTTCGTTACGTTCCGTAATCGATCAATCGTCAATTATTATTAATCCAATCTCTACCTCTTGCGAAATTCACCGGAATAGTTGTCCGATCCGATGGCACGACTTAAGAGAATGCAATTATACCCCGTGCTCTTCTTGATTTCCATCACACTGGCCCATTTCACGGAGCCCGAGGTGAAGGTTTCGTTAAGTTTTAACGATCGCCAAGTGTAACATCGCATTCTCCATTCGTCCGATCGTTAAAACGAATCGGGGGTGATTTGCGCCTTCCCGTTCGCATTGTCGGTCTCCGCGCGCCTCGCGTGGAATGAAACGCTGTCCTCCTCTCCTCCCTCCCCCCTTTCGCCCCCTCTTTTCATCCCGTTTCTTTTCCGCTCGCGATTTTATCTCCACCTCGCGAGATTATTATCGAAGAGAGAGAGAGAGAGAACGCGAAAGAATGCGAGGAATCGTTAATCGTTTTCGATGGTCTGTCCATCGAATGAATTTGAAAAACTTGCAACTCGTTTGGAATCGAGATTTAAGTCGAACCGGAAACAAACTGATAATAATATTGATCTCAAACTGTTCCTGGTCCTTTTAGTTTGACGTAGAAGAGGATGGATCCGGTTCATGCGGGATGATAAAAATTTTCCCTCGTTTCGATTGCAATTCCTTTCTTCTTCTCCGTTATAATTTGTCCACGAAAAATTCATGCGTATAATAGGCAAGCATTCCGTTTCTTAGTAAGGTTATTTAACCACGATTACATCGCTAGATTGGACTAAATCGAAGATCAATAAAACAGAGAAGTTCAAGCACTTTCCTCCACTTTCCTATTATTCCAACCTATTATCTCCCATTATTTGCTATATATCGCGCGCGAGATTGAAATTACGTCACCCTCGATTTTCCATAATTAATAAAGCGGGGAAAACTTTGGATCTGGCAGAGTGAGAGGGATGATATCATATGACCTCCGCCGCATTGAACTCTCTCTCTTTCTCTCTCCCTCCCTCTTTCTATGTCCTGTCCCATAATTTCATTTCATCACGGATGGAGGGAGGAAGCCTCGATCCTCTATCGACTCTCGCATACGTATCCTCGGTAATCACCTTGACGCGGCCATGTTCCCGCGGAACGGTCTACTAATTAGCCAGTTTCGATCGTGTCTTGATGATATGTGCGCAATTATTTATGCAAATCAATCCTGTTCACCCGATCCGTTTTATATCGCGCGAGGGTATAGGAGGGGCGGACAGGGAGGGAGGGAGGGGACATTAGTTAGCGCGAAATCCGCGGAAAGGGGGAGGAGGAATTTGTAGGATCGATCGGGCGGATCGGCGGGGGGGAGTATAGGGTGGAAAATAGGATTGGATCAAAGCGGTGCAAATGAGGAGGTTAACGGCCTTCAGGCTAGTTACGTTTCTCTGTATACCTCGTGCACACGTAGGTGCACGTGTGTTGTGCCGGCCCGGCCGGCTGACCGCGTCGCCTCGTTAATATTAAGCATAAGGTCAATAAGGTGAGCGTTAAATGGGGCGGATGTCGCTTTGACCGCCACTTCGCCTTCCCTATCCTCCTTCCTTTCGTTTCGTGGAAAAATTCCGATCGCTTTGTGTTTGATCAAGTGTTTTCCGCGTTTTTCATAACAGTGGATAATAATGGTCGTATATATATATATATATTTCGTGTTTCGTTTGACTTTTAAACGGAAATGGATGAAATTCTTCCTCGTCTTTGCGAGGGCAAAGATAACTTCGAAGAAATGTTCTTTCTTATAACGGTGTAAGGTCGTTGAGTTGAAAATTTGCTTGTTATTGACGAATTACGATTAATTATTTAATTGTAAGACAATAAAACGGATAAGAAAAAAAAATTGGATCTACTCTTTTTTTCCGAAACTTTTCGAAGGCTACTCGATTCGAGAAAGAGGATTTTGATACCGTTCATAATGATTTCTTAGGAAACTAATTATGGAAACTAATTTCTCAGACAGAGCAAATTTTACAACGCGTCTTTCATCTTTCCTTTATGATAAAATTAAAAAGTGGTCGCGGAGAACGAAAGAGGAACGAGGGATGGAAGAAGAGGAGAAGAGGGAAACGAAAGAGAAAAAAAAAGAAGACGGAAAAAAAGGGAAATAGAGGAAGAGGAAATTCTAAAAAGACACCGATACTCTTAAACCTTTGGAATGGTCGGAGGTCACGCGAGTTCAAGCAATCTGAATGCGTGCTTCTCCTAATGAAGCTTCTGAATAGCGATTCGCGACTCTAACAGGAAGACTGATGCACGGCCCTCAGTATTAAGAAAATAAACTTCCTTAAGCCAAGTCTTGGAATGCTCTCTCGTTAGTTTTCTCGATGCCAAAGAGCCGGGGATATATATCCCTTGGTTTGAATGCAGCTTCCTGGACCCGCTCCCGACCACCCCCTCTCAACCCCCCTTCTCCTTCTTCTTCTTCTTCTTTCAGAACGGGGTAAAAAGAGTCGAAAGTAGTTTACCGTCTGCGGATATAAGGACTCTATGGAATATTCGGATCGATCTTTCCCACAGAGAAAGGGAAAGGGTGGTTTAGTTACGTTACGAGAAAGGCGATGAACAGGAGAGGCGAAGAAAGCCGAAAAATGATCCGAAAATATCGTTGTATCGATACTGTGCATCCTCTCTCGCTATTTTTCATTTTGCTTTGAACAGAGATTAATCGCATTAATGGTCGACGAGATGATGATGCGTACCATCATCTTATATATCTTTCAGTTTTCTCGAGGCTATCCAAATTTTGAGCGTGAGGGATATCGAGAGAGATATTAGATTTGGAATTAATAAATTATTCCAGAATCTTTAATAAATTTTGACGATTGTTCTAACAGGAAAAGTTTAATCATATCGAAGAATACTTTATGTATTTTTCTCGATTCGTTTATAAAAATGTTAAATACGTGTGTGTGTGTGTGTGTGTGTGAAAGAACTGGATTGTTATTTGAATTATATCGAACTGACTTAATGGGATGAAATGAAAGAGGGAGGAGTGGAAAGACCGGTTTGTTTGTCGAAAACGAAAGATGAAACGTTTAAAAGAGGAAAATTAATAGTTCGGGCGATTGCTTGGATATAAAGACGTCTACCTACTAATTAAAATTTCTGTTCCCGGAAAAACCGACGGTAGAAGCCTCTAGATAACTGGTAAAGCTTCGCGTACCTTTTCAAAGTGATTATCTCACAAAGAAGAAAGCCTTTAATCTGGCCCGTAGACGGCTATTTAATTATAAAAAATAATATTCACTTGAAAAATGATTTTTCAGCTTAAAAGGAAACTTCGTGAAAATTTGTAAGATTTCCATATTAACGTTTCCTCCTTCCTTGATGAGAAACGCTCTTTCATAATCAACCGTTGTTAACCGTTGAATTATCGGCGGATGGCACGTTCTCGTCACGAAAATCTGAAACATTTTGCGCATAATCCAATTAGTTCTCTCGGAATTAAAGTAAGATGAAACAATACAAGCAATTTTATCTATCCTTTTTTTTTACGTTAATATCGTAAAATGTTAGTTCTCCGTTGAAAATTATGGAAAATTATAAATCGATCATAAGACAATACTTTATATTACCTTAAAAAAAATTAATTGCTTGTAAAACTTGATTAGATACACAACGAATTCAACAATGGAATCAACATCACATTCTCTATTTCGACCAATTTCAAATATATTCTTCCTGCTTGATTAAAATTAATTTTTCATCCAAGACACCGTTGTAAACAATAACTCTAAACATCGAATACCAAGCTTTCTTCTTTCTTCGCAACGACGAGTCGATCGAAATCAACGAAAAACGAGACTGAACGTAAAACATTCCAAGTTGAATAGAGAAAGATTAGGTAGGTCGATTCAGTGACCCACCCCTGCCCATTTGAATTTTATTCGACGTCCCATGGAACCGTTGACAAATTCCATTCCGTTAAGTGAAGGCGCGGCTGACGTGTCGAGTCTCGTACTCGTTCCAAGCCTCCATTCACCCGAAGAGTAGCTCGACGACGTGGCGAGATACACCGTCGAAACTTTCCCTCCTTTTCTTCCTCCACCCTCCTACGACGTCCCATCGTCTTTTCCCTTTGCGAGCATCCACCTTCTTCTTCGTTTCCAGCCCTCGCGGCCTTTGGGGGAAGGAAGGAAGCTCTGGTGAGAGGAGCATCATCCCTTTTCTGGCCCCCCATACCCATCACCATCCTATCCCCCTCCGCCCGTTTCTGCCGCGTAGCTCCGCTCTCGTTACACTTCAACCCTCGTGCAACCCCAAAACGTTACGCTTAGTTTGATTCAGCACGTGGTACCAGCCACTTGGCCTCTCCCCTTCTCCCTTTCTCCTGCCTTCCCTTCGGCCCCTTCGTTTCACCCCTGCGTATTTCATCCCTCGATCCCTGCCCCGTTCTCGACACCCCTCGAGTGATGCCATGTTATAAGCCTTTCACGTTTAGTAGAATTCGCGCGCTAATTGCGCGACGATGCGGAACGTGATCGATGCGATCGATCGACGCGGATATAGCTTTTCAATATTTTCTTTTTATTTTTTTAATTTTTGACGCGACTATGGCGAGATCGGTCATTGCAATTTTTAATATTTTTCATTACGAAGTTTTCATCATGCTTAGAATCATCGCATCCGTGATCGATGAGATTGATCGATATACGAGATATAAGATATAATCGCTCGAAAGATATTCGAATATTTTTTTTTTTTTAAATATGATTCACCATTTTTTTTCAAATATTTTGCAAAAGAAGAAGAAGAAGAAGAAGAAGAAAAAAGATTATTCTTACTATCTTTTTCCCGTTATAATAAATCTGACTTTAAAAACTGGCTAAACGAAGCGACGAGCCGGCGCTGCGGCCTCGTTCCAGTGGTCGAAAACATTCAGCAAAGCTTGCGGTTTAATGTATAGTTAAATACTCAGGTGTAACGTTTGCTCGGGTAACCGGGTTTCATTTTTAACGACTCGCCGCCGCTTTCGTAAACGGGGGAATCGCGTTGAAATGCAAACAAAATCAGGGAGAGGGGGAGAGGGTTGACGTCGGGGGTTGAAACGAAAAGAGAAACTCCGGGCGACAAGGAATTTCTGGAATTTCCACCCGTGGCTGCTTTACATATTAACTAATTCCGCTATCTGGCCCGCCCCAACTTTGGATTAGACGATTCCCCGGTTAGCAATACCGCATAATGCGATGCAATGTTCGTGCTTGATTGTAACTTCTCTCGTGGAAATTGCCATTATCATTCGGTTGGTTAGCGCTAATAGAAAAACTGACCTACCTTCGTCCTTTTCTTCGTGAAAGGAGGAAAAAAAACTTGGAAATTTTTGCACATCGTATCTTTCCTTTCTCCTCCTCCTCGATTCGCTTTATTGGGTTTTAACAAATTTTCCGTCAGAAATTTGTTATACAAATTTCGGTATACACCTAGTTTGTTTTAATCCGAAATCCATTCACTATCGATTAAATTTTCCAGGATGTGCGGGAATAAAATTTCGATTCATCGGGAGGGTGTTAAGGATAATTTTTCTCTGAAACCAAACCGAAAAGAATATTACTCATGAATAGAAGAAAATATTTGTTTAATAAAAAAAAAATGATGGAAATAAACAGACGGGACGATATATATATATATTTCCTAAAAATAGAAGAAAAATCGTTGAACCATGGTGTTACGGTAAACCGGCCCCCTGACTTTATAAACGATTGAACGAAATCGGAATGGTTCCATGCTTTTCACGTAGCCGTACATGCGAATAACGTTACACGGATCATTTTTGTGTCTGCGCATCATCTCGTTATGTCGCACGCTCTGATGCAGTTATCGGAAGCGGTGACGAAAAAGGGATCGAACTGAAAATTGCCGCGATAACGGGCGCATCGGTGGAATACATCGGTCGAAACAACGAGAAATTATAAACGATCTGATCGAACTTCAAAATTTATTCGATATTATCCCCTAAATTTGTAACGAATCGAAACTATCAAATAACGTCCATTAACTTACGACTTATTGAGAAATAAGAATCACATTGTTCCATCTTCCAAAAATTAATTACGACATCTGCAAAAATAACAAGCTCGTTAATAAACTTTTTCTTTTCAAAATCGCACGTACGTATTCCACATATATTCCTCTATATATTTATTCTTAAAGCAAGCGTTCAAATAACCGTAAATCCGTCGTTTCTTCAACGTGACAGGCATCGAACAATTTCGCGCGTGAAGGCACGACGCGAAGGTTAATCAATTCCAGACGCGGCGTCGTTTCCGCAGACTTAATTCCTGCTTGGGCGCAAGGGGGGTGTTGGAAGCCTTTCCCATTATTATCCGACGTACGAAGGGTTGGACTCGCACCACAAGGGAGTCTGGTGCCGCGAGCTGCCTTCCAAGGACGAGCCAAGAACCGTTTCCTCCCTTCCTCTCTCTCTTTCTCTCCGCGTTTCCTCCTCCCCCTCGCCCTCGCCTTCACCTCCTTCTGTTTCCGTGTCCGGGGTTACGTTGCAGCAACTTTGTTCTCCGGAGAAATTCCCCGTAGCGCTATCTACATATTTGATGTCGCCTCGTCCACTCCGCTAATGCTTCTCGTTAGAAACTTACCCGCGCGACCCGTGCGGTTTCTCCTTCTCTTTTTCTCCGCGAGCTTTCGTTTCTTGGCTGCCTTGCCTCTTCTTTTAAACCATTCCCCATTGTCTGTACGCCGAAGCACGATACCGGGTGACCCGTCCTCCGCTACACCATACTACTCGAAACGCCAGCTTTTAACCCAGGGGAAGAAATTCTCGCGAAAACGATGTGTGTGCGTGCGTGTGCGGAGTAGCACTTGCTCCAGGAGGAAAGTTGGAGACTTTGTTTAAGGAACGATGTTGATAAACTCTTTGAAATGGTAGTAGTGGTTGAGAACGTTTCTTTTTTTTCTGTCGGATCACAAGTTACTCGTGATGTAATAATCCAAGCGATAACATTTTGTTGGATGTATAATTTTATAGGACATGCTGTTTCAGTTATTGGCAGAAATTTAAAAAAATTTGTCCTTCGCTTTAGTTTAATTATGTTTAAGGATCGGTAGTTCAAGTGATTAACATCTTTTTTTCACGGGAAAAATGAAGCACCGATTTGTCAGACAAATCATATACGAGGCAAGTTACAATAGTTTATTTATTTAATTAAAGAATTTATTTTTATAATATAATATCATTTTTTTCTTTTAATGAATAGAAAAAATATGGTAAAAATAATATTTTCTATTAATCATTCTATTGTTGTGGAACAGAATGGCATTTGGACAATAAAAAAAAAATCAAGTACATTTACGTTCCATTGCACGCGAAATATTTTCCAAAAAGTTTTTTTCTTTTGTTTCGCTTCCTTTATTTATTGCCACGCTATAAAACATATCGTTCCTCCACGTTTTTTAATATAGCAATATTCTCTTTGATCTCAAACGTACATGCCGTACCACTCTTCTTTTTTTTTTTTTTCAATTTCTCATGATTATCTTTTTTTTTCTTCTCGCTAACAGAAAGAGACAAACGCGAGGGAATATTTCGCGAAACGGGATTTCCAGGATGCTCGGTATCATCCGTTCCATCTTTCTCGATACGCCATTAAATTTTCCAATTTGCCTCTCTTCGTTCGATTCTTATTGCTTCGTTCCCGCCATTTGCCCATAAGCGGACGCGCGAAAGGAACGCGAAGAGGATAGGATAAAAATCAAAAAAAAAAAAAAAAAAAAAAAAAAAAAAAGAAAGGAATCGCGACTACTCCGCGATGCAGTTTCCCTACAGCGGAGTCGTTTTTATCCCTGTTGTTAACTCCGCGTGTTATTAAATTATATTCAATTTCTTGTTTTTCTTTCCTTTCTTCCTTCCTTTTTTTTCTCCTTCCTCCCCATCCTCGTTTCTCCGATACTCCAATAACGAAAAGATACCAACGTGTAACAAAATATTCTCTACGAGTGCTATATTGGTAAGTAAAAATGAATACATATTCACGTGGCTCGATCCTCCATTTCTATTTCCATTACTTCCGTTTCGAGGGGAAATCGTTGGATGCCGTTTCCGAATAATCAGAACAGATGTGGAAATGGATACGTTTCCATCTTTATTTTTTTATTTTTATTTTTTTTTTTTTTTACTTCTTTGATGTATCTATGCGATATGAGATAAATTATTTTTCAAAGTTAACGAGTGGAAAAAATTCGATTCTTCGATTTGCGACGAGTTCGATTCGAATGTATTTAGAATGAATTTTATTCGGCCAATATGTTACAGCTAATAATTCACTTTGTGGATACAGGAGACGAGAGTTAAACATTTTATCGTTAATTTTGCAAAGTTACTCTACTCTCTGGTTAAACTTGTTATGCAGCATGATATAGTCGCGGTTACGTCGAGTATACATACTTTAATTATATCTTGTATATTCAACATCGTATTCGTTATCTTTAAAGATCCACTGAATTTCGTCATAATTGGTTTCATCCAACTGTTTGTTTCTTTTGAAACGATCGCATTTTTTTTCGTCCAAATACAGAGACATCTCCTCGTGGTCAACATCCAACAAATGCTTTTTTATTTTCCACTCGAATGATCTTGATGCAACATCCTTCAACGGTTCATTTTTCAATTTTCGTATCTACACGATCGTAGAGAAATATTCCTCATCCTGGTATCACGATAAAATATAACGTTCTAAAAGATATATTTTCGACGATCATTTTTCAAGAAAGAATTATTTAAATCTCAGGAATGGAGATCTCACTCTTGCTCGTGTTATGATAATTTCTTCTTCCTTTTTTCCTGCTCACAATAATCCTCCTTACAACTCGAGGAATAAAATTTCCTTGGAAAGTCCCATTTCGAACAGCTGAAGCCACTCCATCAACATCCCTATCGTCGTTTGTATACTATTATATTTATCCAAATCCGTTCCATGTGAAATCACCAAAACTCCTCGAGTACACGCCACTTTAGATAAAAATCCATAAAAGAAAAGCTGGACGATTCTTCCCAAATTTTATCCTTATTCTTCGATAAATTTTTCCCAAATTTTTTTCCCCAAGCCATACCTTCGAACCAGTTTCATCCTAAATAACGAAACAGGGGATTTTCGATGGCAACGTCGGCGGAATTTTTCGCGGAACTCTCTCTCTCTCTCGGCCTCAGAGTTTTTTATCAAGCACCACGGCGACAACGCCTTGGAAATTTCGCTCGTTTACCGCCGTAATTCACGGCGAATCTCCATAGGGCTCTAAATATCTTAACAAGTTTAATACTTCGGCCAGGCTGGTAATTCAGCGAAGGGCCCCCACGGGACGTGAATTATTTTCACCGCGGCGTGATACGCTTTCTTCTTTCCCGCCGACCATCGTCACACCGCGCATCCTCCATGGATCTATCGTCGATCTATCCAATAAACCTGAACCGTTCAAAATTCGTCTTCCATCCTTTTAATTCATTCATTCGAGGCAAGTTTCCACCGCTCGGTTAATTAGTTTCCTCTCTCCTCTTCAAAGATTCATAGCCGAGCGAAAACACACGGACTCCACCGCATCCGTTCTCGAAATTGTAATTAATACAATTAAGTATACGTGTGTGTACGGTGTGTACGTGGGCGGATGAATCTCCGTGCGTTTCGTGACGGATTAACTTCTTCCTCTTCTCGCGTGGCGAATCCCAGCTATGATGTATCGCGTTTCACGGATTGAATCGGAAAGATATCGATCATCCCGTTAAGTAGCTTTCACGGTGAAGGGGACATTGGATCTGGACACATGTGCGGAACGAATCGCCGCAATTTGATGCGATGCGAATCGGTGACACGTAAATGGGAGAAGGAAGACGCTTCTCAGGGGAGCAGGGAGGGAGGGGTAAACGGCCTTTCTCCCGCAAAAATCGTGCACGAGGAGATCACCGATAGATCTCGACGAGATTCAAAGAATTTCGAATCGAAGCGCATTTTTCCTCGATCGATTCGAATTCCATTCGTTTAATGGACGTACTAATTTTTGTATAGAATCGGTCGAGTGTGTCCCGCACACTTGAATGGGGCTCTAAAAGGGAACATTTACACGGGAAATTAATCTCGTGAAATTGTATCGTGAATCAGGGATACTTGTCCCATTTCTGGCACAATTTCTATTTTCAATCGATGATACATCGTGGAACTTTTTGAGAATTTATAAGATGTACGTGCCTTTTGTGAATTTTTACGACAACTATTATCCAGCATTCTCATATTTCTCACTCATCATATATATTTAAAATATATTTAAATTATATAAATAAAACTTTCATCTTTACCCTAGAAAATTTTCCTAGAAAATTTCCAACTTTACGATTCCCTAAAATAAATATTTGATATTTTTCTACGTGGATAATAATAAGAAGAATAATGGAAAAGGAGTTTCAGCTTTCCTCCAGATTTCGATTATTCCTTCCTATTCGGCCAAGAATAATCGAGATCGAAGCGTTCGAGTGAAATGCTTGAAAAATTCTCGATCAGAGTCGGAGGGATTGAAGTACAGGGA